TGCCTAGTGTTGACCCAAAAATTGGAAATAGATGACCAGAGTGAACACTTAAAATCACAAGCAAAGAAAACTGATTTTGAAGTTAACACCAGTGGTCTATCATTTTTCACAAAACTGGATTTATTGCTTAGCCGGATAACTTGTCAGAAGTACCCCAGTCTAAATGGATTATATTAGGGCTGAACGATTTGGGGAAAATATCTAATCACGAAATTTTTCTGACATTGCAATTATGATTTGATTTGCGATATAATTTTTTATGTCAAGCTTCAGTTGAGTATTCAGTGTGTAGTAAATTTAAAACATGACGCAGCATTACCACATGAGATGCCATCAAAATATTAACTGGTCTCTATTCTAATGCAAGGATGAGAATTTAAAAATATGATGTGTTAAGTTAAAGTAATAATGAAAACAATTGCAGCAAAAAGAAAAACAGTAGCGATCTTGCAGGTAACGCTGATTACCCCCTAATAACACTAGAACCGCCTTTTCCCACGCCAATGAACAAGCAAGAACTACTTCGGGGTATGCAGCCCTTTTGTGTGCGCTAATGTGTTATTGGTGTTAATAACAGCAGTGAATCTAACACTCTCAACCAAAAAGCCATAATGTTCATAACAGAGTGGTTCTTCTGAAGGCTGGAAATTTTTTAACGTAGCATGCACTTTATGAAATGTTGAATAAATAGAAGTAGCTTATTGGTGATTTCATGTTGGTCGAAGTTTGTGCTTTTTAACAACTTTGTATGGTTATTTTCTATACAAATCAATTCAGGTGAAACAAAAAAACTGTACGTGTTCAGGGTTGCAAACTTACTCTCACACAAGAAATCATATGGCAAATTGATATTATTCCATTCTGAACTTTAAAACACAAAACACAAAAATGTTAGGGCAATTTGCAAACACTACAGACTATTTACAAGGTAATAACTTTTACATACATGTAAATGTGTGTGCAGAACAGACAATAAAAAATCTCACTCCATGCAGCTGACCAGTTGGCAACCCTGCATTTTATTTGAAATGAGAAGTGATGCCCCACCAATCCGCCTGTCGATCTCCCGTTCCATCCTTCTCTCACTCGTGAACAAGACCCCGAGATACTTAAACTCCTCCACTTGGGGAAGGACCCCCTCCCCGACCCAAAGAGAGCATTCCACCCTTTTCCGGCTGAGGACCATAGTCTCAGATTTGGAGGTGCTGATTCTCATCCCAGCCGCTTCACACTCAGCTGCAAACTGCTCCTGTGAGAGCTGAAGATCATGGTCTGATGAAGCCAACAGAACCACATCATCTGCAAAAAGCAGAGACCTAATCCTGAGGTCACCAAACCGGACACCCTCAACGCTTTGGCTGCACCTAGAAATTCTGTCCATAAAAATTACGAACAGAATTGGTGACAAAGGGCAGCTCTGGCAGAGTCTAACCCTCACTGGAAACGAGTTCGACTTACTGCCGACAATGCAGACCAAGCTCTGACACCGGTCATACAGGGGCCGAACAGCCCTTATACTCCCGGAGCACTCCCCACAGGACTCCCCGAGGGACACGGCCGAATGCCTTCTCCAAGTCCACAAAGCACATGTAGACTGGTTGGGTAAACTCCCATGCTCCCCCCAGGACCCTGCTGAGAGTATAGAGCTGTTCCACGGCCAGGGCGAAAACCGCCCATGCATTAATGAGATGTTCAAATCGCACATATTTTGTACATGAATAGAGTGAAAGTGCTTTCTATTTACATAAGCATAAGCAAATTCGTTCTCTGAAGGTACCTTTATAGGAATGTGCGCGCAGTCGATGGCTCCGATTACATTGGGAAAACCGGACATCGCTGCAAATTTCGCTTTAATCTTTGCCTGTTTAACCACAGTGTAAGGAAATTTTATATATCTGGGTGACAAGCGGTTTATGCCGTCCCATATAGCTGGCATGGCGCGACTCAGTGTTGACTGAGAAATACCCGATCGGTCCGCAAGTTCTCGCTGAAAAGCACCTGTGGCTAAGAACCCGCGAGTGGACAGAACTTGTAAAGGAACAGGTATAGCGCAATTCATCATCGTCTGCCTTTGTAATGCTGGCCCCAGTTAAGCACACAGCTCCAAAAGGATTGCTCTTGGAGATCTGAATCGACTTAGAAGCCAGTCATCATCATGGGTCAAGAAATCATTAAGGTCTCTGAATACGCGCTCTTTTCTAATTCTTCCATAAGCTATGTCTTCCAATAACGCAAGAGCTGCCATGGTAGTTGTAATAGTTCGGTCATTTTCTGCACTGTTTTATTGTTACAAATTGATTGAAAATCAGGTGCCGTACATTTGTAAATATTCAATTAATGTCGGTGTATTGGATAAAGTCAGCGTCATGATTGAGTTTAAAAAGGGAAACCACATGCAGTAGCAATGACTTGCCACTAAGCAGAAACCAAGCAGAAACATGAGTACGCCATGTCTGGAGCTGCCGTGAGAATGTGTGTAGTGTTACGGCAAGTTTCGTTTTTATACATCTCGACGTGAACATGGGATCGGACGTACGCATCATTTTCGTGCGTATGCACCATTTATACATGAGGCCCCAGGTCTCACTGTCATTGCTCACGTGAGCATTGAATTCACCTAGCAGAACAAGAGTCCCCAGGAGGAGGGCTCTCCAACACCCCTTCTAAGGACTCCAAAAAGGGTGGTTATTCTGAACTGCCATTTGGCACATAAGCGCAAACAGTCAGGACCCATCCCCCCACCCGAAGGCGAAGGGAGGCTACCCTCTCGTCCACCGTGGTAAACCCCAATGTACAGGTGCCCAGCCAGGGGGCAATAAGTATGCCCACCCCTGCTCGGCGCGTTTCCCCCCGAGCAACTCCAGAGTGGAAGAGCGTTCAACCCCCCTTCGAGGAGACTGGTTCCAGAGCCCAAGCCATGCGTCGAAGTGAGCCCGATCTAGTCGCAACCTCACAACCTCGCGCACCAGTTCAGGCTCCTTCCCCGCCAGAGAGGTGACATTCCATGTCCCTAGAGCTAGCTTCTGCAGCCGAGGATCGGTCCACCAAGGTCCCTGCCTTCGGCCGCTGCCCAACTCACACAGCACCCAACCCCTTTGGCCCCTCCTACAGGTGGTGAGCCCATTGGAGGGTCTTTTTGTATCTTTTCTAAATAAGACCGCGTGTCCATACCCAACTGTAACAGCGATTAAAGCGATCTATTCTTTTAGTTTTTATGTTAAAGCGAGGCTTTTATTTTATTACTGTCATTGGATTAAGATTATTTTCAGAAGATTAATCTTTGGAAATACTTAAATTAATAAGCACCAAAACATATGACATGAACAAGACTGCATTATGCGTTTTGTGGCTTTTTTGGGGGTCACCAACTCCGCTGCTGTGAGGATTGTTGTTTTGTTGGGTTAGCAGTATGCTAATGCTATTGCCTATTAACAAAAACAAAAGGTATGATACACTGAAGTATGTGGCTGCTGGTGTTTAAAAGGAGGTCGTCTGTTCTGTTGATGATAGGACCTTGAAATAGGAAGGCAATTCAATTATAGCTCAGTAGCGGAATCAGTATTTATTCCGCACTGTGAATGCAACATTTTCCTTGGGTTTCATATGTTTACTGTTTGTGGGCCTATACGTAGTCGTCTTGGGCCACTTCTGATTGGTGAGCATGACTGGCATGTGAGAAGCATGGCGCTTGTGATTATTGAAAATGACTGTCACACAGGGTGCACGGCATGAATTTGTAAAACTATTCTCACAACAGTTTTAAATCCTGGGTCTGTCGTATAGTATAATTTATATCCTAAAGCACAGCCTTTGCGATTTGCTAATCACGTTGTCTCTAATCGAGATTTCTATTTGAAATCGATGAATCATTCAGCCCTAGACTATATCTTTGTTAAATTATATTTACCCTAGACTACCTTAATTACCATAAGTTATCTGGCTTAATTTGCTGTAAATGAAGACAAGATGATTTGCATTAAAATGGCAGGATGAGTGGGTTGAGCGGTGCAGATGAGCGAAGTAAAATCGGGTATATGGTAGGTATCAGGAAAAGACAACATTTATCTTGAGGTATTCAGCTTCTTATTAATGTCTTATCTGCCCTGTACAATTTTTGTTTACAATGCTTAAACTGCAAATGTGTTTTTTTTATATATATATGTTCTAATATTCAGTTCTTCATAAGGTGTATATGTAATATTAAATTATGATTAGGCTACTCTGGACTGATAGTGTTATAAAATGAACAGAAAAGGACAATTAAATTAATTGCAATTATTTGTATGCAAAATGTCATGATCATGACAGCCGTACGTATGGCACAAATTTATATTACAGTCATCTATAATATAAAAGTCAAAACACTTGTTACAAAATATTGTATTTAGCACGATCTGTTCCCCTTTTTGTCTAGTCTTTGAATATACAACAATATCACTTTTTCAGACATTTTGAGAGAAAAGAACATCTTATATTCGGTCCAGCATGGTAATATAACTGATAGTGACAGCCCTAATATTGACATCATAAATTGTCACTCTCCTTTGTGTTACGGCCTGATCCTGGACCATGTTGTGACAATAGCCACAAACAGACTTTTGTTGTGTATAACGTTTTGCCAGATTGTCCATTTTCTGTGCATTTCCTAATATCAACTCTGTGTGTGTGTGTGTGTGTGTGTGTGTGTGTGTGTGTGTGTGTGTGTGTGT